GGAAAAACTCCACCCGCGCATCTTACCCTTCGGGGCGGGGCGCGCAAAAAGGAGGTGTGACACTCACAAAATCAAATTCGGATTTAAACTCACATATTTAAGCTTGTTAAAAATCTAATTTTCACCACCCAAATGAATTTTATTTGTTGAATTAATATTTGAGTCACAGTTAATGATTCAAAAATTAATTTAAAAGCTTGAGGAATCTTTTTTAAAAATTAAATAGTAATTTTGAGAACCTTTTGAAGTTGGATGTTGAATCTTAGCCTATTATTTTTAGGTTAGTTGGTTGTAAATTAAAATATGGGCTATAAAATTTAAAAATAGAGAGCCCAGTTGTTTGTAATGTGAAATTTTCTCAAATTTTTAAAATTTTATATAAAAATATATATATATATATATATATAGGTGTAATAATAAATTTAAAATAGATACTCCTATAATCGGTTTAGTTCGAATTTTTTTTGGTTATTTTTTGATTAAAATCAAAATCAAACTAAATTTGATCGATTTTTTAAAATTCAAAACCAAAACCAAACAAAACAAAAAAGTATCTATTTTTTTTTATCGGATTTGATTTTGGGTTTGGTTCCATTTTATTTTAGAGCCCTTCCTTGCCCTTACAGAAACGGCGGAGATGCCTCTTCCAAAAAACATCAAAACAATCGCATGCCCTTCCCCAAAAGATACAGAACAACGGCGGAAACCCAGACCCCTCCCCGTCTCGATTCTCATATCTGACTCTTTCCCTCTCGTTCTTTCTCTGATTTCATCGACACACACACGCGATTTAGGAAGCTAAAGGAAAAATCATAAACACACACGAAATAGATAGAAAGCAAGTCTGAAATTCAAAGATCCAAACAAAAAGTTCAGATTTGAAAATCACAAAACCCCCCAAAACAGAAGGAAAAACTGAATTTCGGAGAAGATTTAAAAGGGGATTTGATTGCTGAAGTTTCAAAGTTCAAATTCCTCATCTCTGGATCTAAAAGCTGGTTGACTGTTGAAATTATTGTTTTATTGCTGAGATTACCGCCGAGCCCCTTTGGATTGATTTTCGATCTTCATTTGGGCTCACTTTAGCGCCATTGCTTTGTTCGATTTAGGTAAGTTTCGGGTCCTCATTGTACTATGTATGTATTGAGTGATTAAATTGTTAAATCGTTATGTGATTTTGTAAGTTTTGCTCGATTTTTGCTACTCGGAATCTGATGTCCAGCGATTTTTGCTACTCGGAATCTGTCTAAGTTATTTATTGCATACCACTCGTTAGAAGAAACACGTGTTCTTCTATAATTTTTATAGCTGAAGTCAAGCTTCTACGTGTGGCATCTCTAAGAAATTTTCGTGAAAATTTCTGTTGCATTTCTGCATATGTAAACATTCTAGGATGTCTGTATATAGCTTGCTCATTTGTCTGTGGACTCTTCCTCATTTGTTTTAAGACAACGAAAACTGCTTTGATCACACAATTGTTTGACATTTACTCTTATTCAAAAGAGTGTTAAATCCAAAAAAAAAAAAAATGATCCTAAAAATGGTTGCAAGTAGTCATTAGACTAACCTCAGAAATGAGTTCTCCATTTTCCCTTGAGAACATGAGACTTTGGGATTTAGTTATGTATTGTAATTTGGTCTATATAACATGGAAGTTGAAGTATAATTTGTCACCAAGTTGGCTGTCATTGGCAATTTGCTATTTGATTGTTTGATTGAAATGAGGCTTTTATTTGTTATAAATTGCCATAGTAAATAACACCAATAATTTATGGCCCTCAAAATTAATTTTAGAAACCCTTTTGTTAGAATAATCCGAGGCATGCCATGCCAAAATAAAATCTCAAAACTCATGACCCTCCCTTAATTAATTTTAATCCTTAAAAATCGAGGTGTGCTATTTAGTTGAATTTTCCATGGCCCTCGCAAACTTGAAAGTGCGTAGTTGCTTGAGGCGCGTAATTTAAATTAATTTCCTTAAACTCGGGTGTGCATTTCATGTGACCCAATTTCAATTCTTAACAACGTTAAATAAAATGTGTCGTGGACCGCAGGTGCATTTCATGTGGCGTAGTTCAAGACGTGTTTTAAATAACGTTGAATCTTCCTAAAAATAATTAAAAGCGGTTAATAAGTTAACAAATTGTGCCATAGGCTAAAACATGTAATAAAATCAGATAATAGGCCAATTATAACAATTTAAGCGACCGTGCTTGAACCACGGAACCCGAGAATGCCTAACACCTTCTCCCGGGTTAACAAAATTCCTTACTTAGAATTTCTGGTTCGCAGACTTCAAAAGGAAAGTCGAATTTCCTCGATTTGGGATTTAAAAATAAACCGATGATTTGGGACACCAATTAAAATATTCCAAGTGCCGACTCTGAGAAATTAAATAAAATAATCACATCTCGAATAATGTCACTTAAATTGGAAAAACTCCCTTATATACTACATTTGGGTGTGTAAAAAGGAGGTGTGACAGCTCTGACGACTCTGCTAGAAAATTGGCTCTAGTCAGCGACGCCAATTTGCACCTGATGAAATTAATCTTCAAAGTTTGTTAACGTTGTAGTCTCACTATCTGTATGAGCTATAAGGTCAATTTCAACGGAGTCCAAACCAACCTGGATTTCAAAAGACGTAACTGGTGATGACAATTCCAGCAAATCACTCTCGTCTGCGCCATTAGACATTTTATCGATAATGTTGGTCGCCTCTAAGTTTCTACCTTGGGAGGTAGATTCCAAGTCAGATGAGTTTGGGACATGGCTCAAAACAATAGAATATGCACCTTTGGACCTATCAGATGATTCATCAAACACCTTATGCGCATGAATTTTGTTTTTGCAGTCAGATTGTCTACCATAGTTTTGCAAGAAAGATGAGTTGGTCATACAACTCCTCTTCGCTAATCTCCCTTCCGACTTGAGCCCTTTCTGTTTAAATCGAGTTCTCACTTTATCAGCAAAATGCTGCCAATCAATTAATTGCTTGTTCCTATAGAACCGCTGGTACCATTCCAATGCGTTCTGATCATCCTCAATTCTATAGAACTCAAAATAATGCTTCCATAGCCCGGTCTCGAGGTTGAAAAGAGGTCGTTCTTTGTTTCCTCATAGCCTCCAGCAGCATCGAACGAAGATCAGCGAGATCCTTAGAAAGTGAGGCCTTCATTTCCTGAACTGAATCACGAATTGAATCTTCGACGAAAGCCTTGAGTACTTTTTGGTCCTCCATTAGAGACCTCTGGATGAAAGCACCAATGTAACAACTGGATATTACACCCAAACCAACTGATTATATTAACTCAATAAAAGGAACTACAATAACCAAATAGCAATACAATAGTAGAAAACAACACTAAAGGAAGTAGAGAGTAGATGAGAAGAGAAATTGCAACCTAAAGCTAAGAAGAAAGGGGATGAGAAACAGTTTCAACAGAGGAGATGAGAAGAACAGACTGAGCCAAGGCTTCAACATAATTCACATCCTGTATCTCCCCCTTGATCCCAAATATAATGTCCTAGCATTCCATTCGGGTGTTTAGTCATTGGGGTTCTTCTCACTTAAACTTTTGGCCCAAATGTCCCAACTGGATCAGCGTCGTTTGACATTTCTGGCCCATAGCCCCTTCCTGACTCAACTTGGTTCACAACAGAAGATGTTCTAAGACAACTCCCGTAGGAATTCCAAAAATTTGAAACAAAAAATTCCAGATTTTGACTTTCATAAAATCATAATTTTATATAATTTTCAGGTATTAAAAGCAAAAATATATAGAGGTCAGAGAATTAGAAAATAGTAACAAACTAAAAATAAAGAGAAAAAATAAGGAAAAACGGGAAAACGGGGCAGGGCGGGGCAGGGTTAGCAGGACGGGGCGGAGTAGGGCAAAAAATTGTGAAGATGGTAAACGGGCAAGGGCAGGGCGGGTCAAGATCTTAGTGGGTCAAAGCTTGCCTGCCTCGCCCAACCCATTTGACATCCCTAACTGTATTCTAGCCCAGCATCCTGAAGCCCAATTGATCTCCCCGTCATCTCTTCCAGACAACTGAAGAAACTTTCCCATAACTTTCATCATCTCCTAATTGTCGGAGCTTTCTCGCATTTTGCTCAAAAGTATTATCATCCCACTTTGAATTCATACGGTACGTTTTTAAATTAGAATGGCAATTTACCTCAATTAAAAAAATTTTTTTTGCTGTATATGGATAAACAGAAGAGTGCTATTTATTATTTTGCTTATCTAATATCTAATTATGTTGTTTGATTGAGAATCCTCCTTTTGTACCTTGAGTTAAAATAAGAAAGTTGTGGCAAGAAAGTTGTGTTCATATTTGTGATTTTGGGGTGACTTATTGTGGAGTTGAGTTTTTCATGGGAGATGTTGAGTGAAAGAGAAACTGGTTACACTGACCAGAAGATATCAGTTAGCTGTGGCAAAATGACTACATCTGTCCCCTAAAAAAAAAGAAAAAAAATCAAAGGGATAGCTGCCCAATTACATATACGTCTGTCCTCTCATTAGCATGAGGCTAACACTCCGAGCACAATCAATAATGCTAACTGATAGAGCCTGTTAGTTCTGATATTTGGGTTGCTATTAAGTGGGAGGTTAATTTCATGTTTCCCAAGATTAAGCCAATATAGAAGCAACTATAGTGTGCTTTTTTTTTCACTTCTCGTTTAAGCTCTATATGGTTTGATACATTCTTATTACTACAGAGACGAAAGAGAAGATTGTTGCTAATTTGGCGAACTTTGCATATGATCCTTACAACTATACCTTTTTGTGCCAGGTTAAGAATCTTCTGATAAGTAGTTTAAGTTTGTTATTCAGTCATCTTTTCCTGTTTTGTTTGGCTCAACATGTCTTGTAATATTAAACAGCTTAATGTTATAGAACTTTTTCTCGACTGTTTAACTGAGCTGAGTGAGAGGCTTGTGGAGTTTGGGATTGGAGGAATCTGCAATGCTTGTGCTGGTAAGACTAAAGCTTTTGGAGTTAATGTTGTGCAATGCTTGTGCTGGTAAGACTAAAGCTTTTGGAGTTAATGTTGATTCCATGATTTGGAACTTTTTTTGTTGGCATATTCAGAATCGCAGTAGACTTACTGTAATCTGCTCCAGAAAATTACTTATGCATTTTTTGACTTGCAGATCCAGCAAATGCTGCTCTTGTCACTCAAAATGATGGTATCCCTCTCGTCATCCAGTGTTTGTCAAGTCCTGCTAGGAACACGGTAAGGACATAAACAAACAGTTTGTGGTCTTCTTGGTTATTGAATGCGTGCTGTTCACTCTTTAAAATATGCACATAAAACATAGTGAGAAGCACTCCAAACTAATAATTGTTACTTGAACTGTCCAGTACCATTGATCTGTCAATCTTGTCGATTACTCTGATAAGAATTTGCCTGGCATCAGTGTTATCACCTCTTATTGAATGTAATCATTTTAACAGTTGGTGTCATTTCAGTTTCTGCTTCTTTGGGAGGCATCAAGAATAATATGATGTTTGCCTTTATTGAAAAAACTCTGAAATTTAGTAGTAGTATTTTTGTTCCTGTCTCAAAGATTGTTTTTACTTTACCACTTCCTTTCACGAGTGAACCCTGGCACGAGCCTACCTTGGTTGAACCAAAAAAGGGGTACATGCATACCTACCTTTACCATATAGGGAATGAACTGTGTTAGAGGCATGTGATTTTGCTTCGATCTCTTCGGCTAAACCTAAAGGAGACTTCGATCATTCTAGCTTTCTGAAGGAGGAACATGTCACTCGGAATTTCAGAAAGTGAATCCTCTTTTTCAAATCCTCAACAGCCTCATACTTAGGTGGTCAGTTTTACTTCTCAAAGTCTATGTCAGTCTCTCATCGACATCCTCTTCTGAGCAATTACAGTATACAAATTGTTACATTGTGTATCTATCTAAACAATAAAAAATGGTTATTGTATGCATATGCACATAAAGAGCAACAGTAACACATGTATATGGGTGTATGTGCATGCATTTCACCAATGGTTTTAACAAATGAACTTCAAACTGGCAGGTAAATTATGCTCTAGGAGCTCTGTATTATCTTTGCAATGCATCAAACAAGGAAGAGATCTTAAAGCCAGAAGTAATTAATGCCATCAAAAGTTATGCAGCTGCTGGTGGAGTTAGTACAAGCTTCAGCAATTTGGCTCAGTCTTTCTTAGATAAACATGTCTAGTACTTGTACTGGTGGGAGGTCGTACGAGTGTTTTGCGCAAGCTGGCCCGCACACCACCCGGGAAAGAAAAAGGAAGTCCTATGTATATCATCAAATTCCAAAACCACCTTTGTTTGTTCCTTGACTCTTGAGTGGCTTCCTATCTTGAAATATAACAATTTACCAAGTATATATGTCAAAGTTTTTAATCGGAAAAAACTTATGGATAGTAAGTTGACGTAATTCTAGAAAACTAACACAGTTACTCCTGCACTGCATATGATAAATTTGCGAAAATTGTTGCTACAGATATAAAATTCATGTATCGTATGTATTATTATGAATAATTAGTGTATTTACCGGCTGGAAAAAGTATACATTAAATCTGGCAGGCAATTTCTGTTAAAATCTTGGATGAGTAGCATAAATGTTGATCTCGCTAACATGTCTAATCTGATTGTGGTAATCTCAAAATTAAAATGACAAATATTTACAGGATTTATCACAAAGTTTAACCAATTTATTCCACATAAATTAGATAAATCATGTTTAAGAAGTACTTGATGAAACTGGAAAAAACGAAATTTTAATTTTTTTTCTCTTTGCATCTGTGATCTGCCTATGTGCCTGAAAGAACAAAAGTACCTAAATCTCCAACGTTGATGTTTAAATGAAGATATTAGTTTTGTGCATTTAAGAGTGTGATCTAGTGATCAATATAATGCGTTAAAAATCATAGCATACCAATTTCAAATTGCAATGAAGATAAAAAAAAATACTAAAAAATACTTATCCAATTCTTGGTGAAAAAAGTTATTCAATATACAGGTACCTCGTGAAATCAATAGCGTAGCAACATTATGCCAAGGGTAGTCTTTTTTTTTGGGGGGGTAGAATGCCAAGGGTAGTCAAATGAATAGCCTTCGCTAAAAAACTATATTGTGGATACAAATCAATTTAATTTATATGATTATATATTGCCTTTTGAATACCTTTAATATTGTTGAGTGAGATATGTTTAAATCTTCGCGTAAATGTTTGCTCCTTTTGTTTGCCAAAACTAAATAGAGATCGTCGTATGTGTAAAAACAAACAACTAATCTTAGAAGTTGTTTTTAAATTTAAAATTGATTCTGAATAAATTTTATAATTTCAAAGTCAAGCTTTCAAAAATGTCTTCAATAAAAGCTCGCTATATACTACTCCACAATCCTCTCGACTCTCTCTTTCTTTTGGTTTTATGCTTACTTTTATTATTATTTTTTTTATCCTTTTTTATACTTTTATTGTTAACATTTTTTTATTTTTATCCTCTTTTATATTAGTTTTGATTTATAAAATTATAATTCTATTACAAAGTATTTTTATTATTTTGCTAAATATAGCGTAATTTAATTTAAAATTTGGTGCACCTATTCATTGAAAGAAAAATTTAATAATTTTCTTAAAGTTTGAACTCCCTTGATAAAATTCCTGACTGCACCATTTTATGAAATTAATTGAGATACGAATAAATTGGTTCGAATATGCAATAAAAAGATTAATTCTCGGCCAAACTTGATGCAAGGTTTTGCTTTTTGTTAATATCCACCCTTCATGTTTTCACAGTATTCACTTTATCACAAGAAACTTCACAATTTTTTTTCCCAGCTCACAAGTGAAACATTCAGCATTTGACAAAGACAAGTGTCCATAACGACAAACAAGAAACCAACAAAAATCATATAAGATGATAAATTCAAAATATAATACAATCCCACAATTGTCTCTCATACAACACTCTCAAACAAAAGCCAACTCATACCAATGAACCTGATAAGTAAATCCAAAATATATATACAGAAAACAAAACAAAAAAAGAAGTAAAAGTACAAAATGGACATAAGAAAATTTATCCAAAAAATAAGGAATTTTTTTTTCTTTTGTTCTTTTTTTTACAACAAAAACAAACTTAATAGGATTTGTTTTTACTTTGGAGGGCTGGCCTTCACGACTGTGATAGGATGCGTTGCATCTTGCACCACGTGGTTGCTCACACTTCCAAGTAACATCCTGCAAATATAAGCAGTTGCAAATTAACCCCATATTGATAATTAAACTGATGCCTTATTTATTCTGATAAAAGATCACTACAGCAATTAATTATAGATTATTATACATCGATATTGTTCTCGAGTTGTAAAATCAATCATTAACGTTTTAGGATATGCTGTCTATATTATATTATACTCATTGAAAGTGATTCTTTCCTGAATCGATGCAAACGCAAGATACTTGATGTGTATCAGAGATGCTTTTGCCAAAAGAGGGACATTCTTCAAACAGATAGAACTTATACTGCCCTCGAACTCAAAGGATGTCAGCTTGGGGGCATTAATTTCAATTATGCCTGAAGTTTCCGAGAGTAGTTTCAACACGAACTGCTCAAGCAACGGGCAATGAGATATTAACCTTCCGAGCAATTCAGGAAAATATTTGACTCTACATAGTTCCAGGCTGATTAACCTATCAAACGCAGTGGCGGACCCAGGATTTGAGCAATTCAGGATTTGGCGTGCAGCTCTTTCAAATCTTAATGATTATAGTGACTTATTATCCAAGTATGAATAAAAAGAAGTTCTAAATAAAAAGAAAGTGCCGAACAGAGAGAGGTTTTTCGAAACATAGGTGCTACAGAAAGGAAAAATATTTGATTTAAACATGTTTTAAACTTTAAACTTTTGATTTTTCTCAAATAAAAAAGGGACCTGTGATCAAAAGGGTGTTTAAAAATTATCAAAAACTTACTAAAGAAATCAAGATTAAGGGCGTATTATTGTCAAGCACTTGAGAATCTTTGGGAGCATAGCCTATGCTCATGTGCCACATCAAGGGAGAGCGAAGCTTGACGATCGAAGTGTCAAGCATGTATTTATTGGCTATGATACGAGTTCAAAAGGCTACAAGTTATACAACCCAAGCAGCGACAAGGTGGTGGTAAGTCGCGATGTTGAATTTGATGAAGAATTGGCATGAAACTGGAAAGCTCAGGAAGAAACTTCATATGATTTTCTTCCATTCTTTGGTGATGAAGAAGAACCAGAAATCATGGAACCTGTGCAAGATACAACTCCACCTTCTTCTCCAACCAATATTGCATCTCCCTCTTCTCAAGAAAGTTCAAATGAACAGCCTCAAAGGACAAGGAGTATTCAAGAGCTCTATGAGGACACAGAAGAAGTTACTAATTTTGATTCTTTATATTGTCTCTTTGCTGACAGTGAACCAATGAACTTTGATGAAGTTGTTACAGATAACAGGTGGAGACAAGCCATGAAGGAGGATATCGAGTCAATAGAGAAGAACAATACTTGGGAGTTAATAACTCTTCCCAAGGGTCATCGAGAAATTGGAGTGAAATAGGTATACAAGACAAAGAAGAATGTTAATGGAGATGTGGAAAGATACAAGGCACGACTGGTGGCTAAAGGCTACAAGCAAAGGCAAGGCATCGACTATGAAGAAGTCTATGCACCTGTTGCTCGCATGGAGATTATTCGTTTGCTGATCTCTTTGGCGGCACAAATGAAGTGGAAGATTCATCAACTAGATGTCAAGTCAGCCTTCTTGAATGGCTATCTTGAATAAGAAGTCTATGTTGAATATCCATTGGGCTTCATGGTCATAAACCATGAAGATAAAGTGTTACGGTTGAAGAAAGCTTTATATGGATTAAAGCAAGCCCCACGAGCATGGAATAGTTGCATCGACAAGTATTTTCAAGACAATGGGTTTACTCGTTGTCTCCATGAATATGCTCTTTACCTTAAAGTTCATACTAATGGAGATATCTTACTTGTTTGTCTTTATGTTGATGATCTTATTTTCACGGGTAATAACCCAAGTTTGTTTGAAGCTTTCAAGAAAGATATGTACCATGAGTTCGAGATGACAGACATAGGGCCCATGTCATATTACCTGGGCCTAGAAGTGAAGTAGATGGAGGATGGAATTTTTATCTCTCAAGAAAGCTATACAAAAGAGATATTGAAGAAGTTCAACATGCTCGATTGCAACCTCGTGAACACACAGATGGAAAGTGGGACAAAATTGTCCAAGTTTGATGAAGGAGAAAAAGTAGATCCCACATTCTTCAAAAGTCTTGTGGGAAGTTTGAGGTACTTGACTTGTACCAGGCCAAATATACTTTTTGCAGTTGGAGTAGTAAGTCGCTTCGTGGAGGCTCCTACCTCTACTCACTTGAAGGTTACTAGAAGAATTCTTCGCTACCTAAAAGGTACGATTGATTTTGGGTTATTTTATTCTTCTTCTAATGATTTCAACCTTGTGGGATTTTGTAATAGTGATTGTGCGGGAGATATTGATGATAGAAAAAGTACAATTGGTTTTGTATTTTTCTTGGGTGATTCTATTATTTCTTGGAGTTCAAAAAAATAGTCCATTATTACTCTCTCGACTTTTGAAGCCGAATATATAGCAGCAACATCATGTACCTGTCATGCTATTTGGCTAAGGAGATTATTAAAGGAGCTCAATTTGTCACAAATGGAAGCTACAGAGATTTGTATTGATAACAAATCAGCACAGACACTCGCGAAGAATTCAGTGTATCATGATCAAAGCAAGCATATAGATACAAGGTATCACTTCATCAGAGAGTGCATTGCCAAGAAGGAAGTCAAACTCAAATATGTGAAGTCTCAAGATCAAGTTGCAGACATTTTTACAAAGCTTCTCAAGTTTGAAGATTTTCAGAGATTGAGAACAAGACTTGGACTGAAGAAGAAAAATCAAAATTAAGGAAAAAATTTGTGGGTTCCATACCTCACATACTAAAGGAAATAAGATGGAAAGGTTGGAGAGGACAAAGTAGGCTGCTTGAAAAATTACATATGGGCGGCTGATCAAAATTTTACTTTGCAATGCAAAAGTCAATTTTGATTGGCTGATAGATTGGCTATTTTACCTATAAATAGAGATGCTTCCCTCTCGGTTTAAACACACCCAAATAACGAGAGAAGCAGAAAGCAGTGAGAGTAATCCAAAGATTGTTGTCTGTGAGATAACTAGTGAGTGGTAGTAATATTGTAGTGAAGTGTTTTAAATAAAAAGTGTTATTTCTTTCAAAGTTGTAGTAGTCTCTTGACACTATTGAGTTGTAATATTATAGTGGTAATATTGCTCCGTTCGGATATTGTATTTTACCCCACTAAAATATTTGGTGTCATT